CTAACTCGGTAATGATACAGAGACCGATCAGGACTATAGTCTTATTAATTTTTCTTTTAAATCTACAAATTTTTATTTCTATTTTTAGGTCAACAATTTTTAATTCATAAATTATTAAGCACTAAAATATAAGTATGAAACCTTAAATCTTAAAATGTATAACCTAAACATTAAAAATCTAAACCTTAACACGATAAATACTAAATTTTATTTTTTAAGAAAAAATCCAAAAAAAAAAAAACTTTTAGAAATAGCTGGTTTGCTCGGTAATGCTCCTAAATGAAAGCCTTATATATAATACCATTCATCATGGATAATATGATTCAAATAGACAAGAATCTATTCTTGTTAATTTGAGGATTGTGGCATGTATCAATGAAACTCTGTTGATGTGCCGCTCTTCTCCACATCTTGTTTAGTCTGGAAAATAGCGGAATTTTTTCTTTCAACTCGTACATAGACATATACCTTTTACAAGTATTAGTAGTAGTCACATCCCCATTTCATTCTCTGCTTCCATTCTTCCATATTGGATCTGTTGTCTATAATTCAGCATTTACTTACAACAATTTCATAGCTTCCATCCCCAGCTAACTGGAGAGTTAGGTTAAGACTTAAGAGCAACAAAGGAAAATCCATATGATTGGGACCATAGATTAACTTCACTGAAACCTTGTCCTCTGCCAAGAAAAAGGACTCAAAATGTACTACTCTATTGGAAATGTATTGAACTTCTAACTTTTAACATTTTATGTACGGAATGCAACTACAAGTTGAGTTCAACCCCTAACACTAAATCTAAAAATTAAAAAAAAAGAAAAAGAAAAAGAAAAAGAAAGAATGGGCTACCTTTATCCTTAAGACCTAGAATCTGCCCTCCAAAGTAATATGGCCTCCTAAAATCATATATATTTTTTTAATACCTTATATTTCTTTGCTTGCTAGGTCTAACGATGAGTGCTCTAAAAATAAAGAGAAATTAAAAGTTCATTTTACCCGGTTGCTTTCTTCTTCTTCTTTTTTTTTTTTTTAAACAAATACAAATTTTAAGTGGTAGAAAGATTTAAATTAGTATTATATTAATAAAAAGATACTTTTACAACTAATTATTAACCAGTCGGCAGCATATAAGGGTAGGTTCTTTTACCCAGTTGCTTTTTTTATTTGGATTGATTATAATTAATTTTGTAGCGGAGAGATTCAGATTTTAATTTTAAAATTGAGAGATATATTTTATAATAAAATATGTAATTATCAAATCATAAAGTTCAAGTGATTTTTACCAGATTACTTTTACTCCTTTGGGTGACAAAAAGAGCATTCAATAGGAAATGATACGACTTTAATTTTGAAAGATTTTCAAGCTAACACTCGAAAGAGACGTACTTATACTTTTCAAATGTTACACATTTGGTTATATATTAATGGTTTTTATTAATATATTATTAAAATTAATATAAATTATTAATTTTAATGATAAAAATAATAAAAATTATTAATTTTAATTATATAAATAACAAAAATCATTAATTTTAATGACACACAAACAAAAATCATTAATATATAATAAAATATATAACGAAATATGTAACGAAATGTGTAATTTTAAAATGTATATATATCATTTCTCAAAAAATATATACATTACACATCATCTAATACAAATATTCTTGTCCTTACCCTTGCCCTCGCGCTTACCTTGCAGTGACGCAGAACAAAGAAGAGGAATAGCCATACTTCACAAGGAAAAAATGAGGGTTCATTTATTAATCTGCCATTTGTTACTTATCAACTTATCTTAGCCTATATAAAACACTATATCTCAAAAAATTTGAACTCTTAACATGGCAAAATAATGTACCTTGAAAATTTTTAAACACCAACAGCTTGAACACTATATATATATACCAAAAAAGATATAATCTTTAAAAATTTAAAAATTAATGTCTTAAATAATAAATTTTAAAATTTTAAATCCAAACAACCTGAATTTAAATGGTTTAAATTATAAAATATAAATTAATAAATAAAAAAATTTAATATCAAACTATATATTTACATTCAATGATTAACTTTATACAATTTAAAACAATCCGTTCTGTGTCGACACTTTTTCCACTGAAAACAGTAAGAGATAAAAATGAGTTTAAATTATTAAAAAATGTCACCGCATGTGTGCCGTGCCACGCCGCATCAGCCTTCCGTCGTACTGCTGGGTTACCCTCTAGCTTTTTCTTTTCTTTTCTTTTCTTTAACGGGGTACTAGTACTATAGGGATCTAACGCTTCCCTAGACGGATCAGTCCCTCTAACTTTAAAAAATTTTCTTTTTAAATCTACTACTTTTTATATCTATTTTTAGATCCAGTAAATTTTAAATTTTAAATTATTTTTAGGTTCTAATTCTTAATTTCAATTTATTAACCCTTTCAATTAAGATATTAATGTTTTTCAAATGAATTTTAAAAAATTAAAAATTATTTTAAAATTATATTATTTTATTAAAATACTATAGAAGTATCAAAATTGAATTATTTTGGTTAAATACTCTTTTTGGTCCCCCTACTATAGGAAAAAGCCCCTTTTTAGTCCCTGTACCGAAAAAATCCCCTTTTTAATCTTTACTGTTCACAAATCCGGCCCCTTTTTAGTCCTTC